CAATCCGAATGCTTAAATATATTTTCCTAAACATTCTGCCCGAAATTGTAAAAATCGACCCCGGGCCTGCTTGGTCAAAACACGAGGTTCGAACCAAAATAAATTCACCCATTCACCCACGAGCCCGAATATATAATTTGCTTTCAAGTTCGACCCCAAAACGAGGTCTAATTCATGAAATATTTGAAATACCCTAACTCTACCCAATTCTCTAATTCCTACCTATTTTCACATGTTTTGTGCCTTGGAATTCAAATGATATTGATGGAAGATGAAGAAAACGAGCTAAGAAATACTTACCCAAGAAATTTTGGTGAAGAAATGCTCCAAGAATCGCCCAAGAGCTTTGAAGAGGAGAGGGTTTGAGAAATGGGATGGAAATCCCGTTTGTGTTCTGTTTTGGGACTTAAATTCGCTGGGCAGAATATTGCCCTTCGCGTTCGCGACATGGGTGTCGCGTTCGCGATGAGTAGGGTCAGATAAGCATCGCGTTCGCGGGAGGAGGGGGTGCGAACGCGAAGAAGGAAATACTGGGGTCCAGGGAGTTTGGCCTACGCGAACGCGATGGGAAGGGGCTGGAGACCTACGCGAACGCGGTCCAGCCATCGCGAACGCGAAGAAGGAAGGAGGGATGGGCCCTCAGAACTCGATAACTCTACGCGATCGCGATGAAGGGATGCGAACGCGAAGAAGGGAGGAAGCTGAAGCTTCGCGAACGCGAAGGAGACATCGCGAACGCGATGAAGGAATTCACTGTGCACCTGCAGCAGATTTTTCTGAAATTTCACTAAGTCCAAAACCACCCCCACACCTATCCAAAACTCACCCGAGCCCTCGGGGCTCCAAACCAAACATGCATACTGACTCAAAAACATCCTACGAACTTAACCGTGCGATCAAATCGCCAAAATAACATCAAAACAATGAATTAAGCCTTAAAATCCAATAATTCTTTCAAATTTCATAAAGCTTCAAATCTTCCGTTTTAAGTCCGAAACACGTCAAACGACGTCCGTTTTCAACCAAACTTTACAGGAAGCGCTTAAACCACATATAAGACCTGTACCGAGCGCCAAAACCAAAATACGGGCCCGATACCATCACTTTTTAATCAAATTTTATTTTCATTTTTCTTAAATTTTTTCAGAAAACAATTTTACTCAAAAATTCTTTTCTCGGGCCTGGGACCTCGGAATTCGATTCCGGGCATACGCCCAAGTCCCATATTTTCCTACGGACCTTCCGAGACCGTCAAATCACGGGTCCGGGTCCGTTTACCCAAAATGTTGACCGAAGTCAAATTTATTCATTTTAATATCAAAACTTAGCAAATTTTCACATAATTTCATATTTGAGCTTCCAGCTGCGCGTACGGACTGCGCACGCAAATCGAGGCAACTATAAGTGAGGTTTCCAAGGCCTTAGAAGCTCGAAAATGGATAAGAAAACAGTGATGACCCTTTGGGTCGTCACATGCCCTTGATATGATATTTACAAGTAATGCATGACATAGAAATATTATTTCGATTCCGCCGGAGGCATCTACAAAGAACAATCCCGTTATAGCAGAATTGACTATTTATAATATAGTCTTGAAAGCTTGTTCTTGTTTAAGATTTAGCTTTGATGGTGCTTCCTCACACTTTGTGTAGCATTTTGATTCTTAATAATATACTAACATTTTTACTTTGTGTTCTAACGCTCTTTTTATGTAATAAATTTATGTATCCTAAGATTTTTTTTACTTGAATAAGAATTTTACTCATATGAGGAATTTAAAAAATAATTGAATTGGATTCTCTTGCTAAATAATTGATTAAAAGATATAATTATTTGGTTCAACATAAAAAATAATTTATTCTATATTGATTTTAAATATTTAATCTTAATTATAATTTTATCCCCCATAAATTTTATTTTCAAAGAGTAAAAGATTGATATGACATTTCACTTTTAGATCTTTATGTTCGTAGAATCATTAGTGGTATTGACTTTTACAAACTATTTTTTCTCTTTCTCACATATTTATATTCTTAAATATTTTCTTAGCTGTTGTTTAATATTTGGGTATTTTTAATATTATATGAAAAATTGATTTAAAAAATATTACTTGAGTAGGAATATAGGTCAAATATAATATAAACATATATTATCGTGGGGATATTTTTTTCTCAATTTCAACTCTTTATGTATTTTATTTAACATTGCTTTTATTTTTTCTTAGTATGGATATTATGGAGTGACAATGTATTGCCAATATGGAGGATATGAAATTGATTTTATTAAACCTTCCTACATATTTTTAATAAGAAATTAATAGACAAAATTATATTAATTTTAAAATCTTAAATATTAAAAATTAGCATAGAAGGTATTGTCGTAACAAAAATAGGTTATTGCAATTATGTCTTTTACCTATGAGTTTTTCCGTTTAATATTTTAAGGCTATTTTGATATATTAATATTGTATTTATGTTTTTATAATAATATAGACTCTCCTTTTTCTAAATGGATTTGGACAATATAATACATTCTCAAATTAAATTAGTAATAGGATATCATAATACGTTTTTAAATTATAATGTTGGTTGACAAAAATATCCTTATAATGTTAAACATAATAACTGATAATAAAAGGACATAACCGAAATACTATACATTAGCCGTGTAATCTTTTAGGAGATATTTCTTAAACCCTAAAAGTTAGGCCATATGTAATCCTATTGGAAATCACTTATCGAACACATGCGTTCTTTTTGAACCATATATGCCTATAATCTTAACTATATTTGGACTACAACGATGAGAAGTGTTAGTGTACAAAAGTATTGCTAAAATATTGAATTTATCTCTTTTGCAATAGTGTTGTAGTTGTTTAGACTCCTTAGGACTCCGAAATAATTACAAAAATTACACACTTGGTTAACTTAATATTAATATATTTATGTATCCTAAAACTAATAGAATTACATGACTAAAGATATTTACTTGTTCAATTTTATATGAATTAGACCGTCCGAATGTAATTATACTAATAGAATTCCTAAAAGTAATCACGTAGGATTCCTAACATGTAGTATTATGTCTTAAAACTAATAGGATTATAAGGCTAATATTTAGAATCCCGGTTATATCCTTTTATTATGAGTTATTATCCTTAATATTAAAAGGTTATTTTTGTAAACCGACATTGTATTCATGCTTTTATAGTAATATAGATATAGATATAGATATAGATATAGATATAGATAGATAGATATATATAGATTAACTACATGCTATGAAGGAAGTTTGGACTATATTTCCTTATATTTCCTTTGTATCAAAATAATGGAAAAGAAAGTATTTGATAAGCAAAAATAGGGCCGAGCCAGAATTTCAAATTTTAAGACATATACATGGTTCGAACCAAAATTTACTGGATTCAGTGGAATTCGCTCGGGCACTCTAGCTCCGCCCCTAATGATATTGAACTAAGCATATTCAACATTCAATGGAATTTTTACTTCTAATCCCTCGACTTTTGAACTTTCAAGAATTTACAAAATTATTTTGTTTCCACATTGTGCGTATTCGACTAATTAAATGGTCCTGCTACAGGGGTGGCCCGTCCATAAAGCAAGGAAAGCAATCGCTTTAAGCCCCTTATTTGAGGGGGCTTCATTTTTTATCACACTTAATATATGTATAAGTTTTAAAAAGAGTTATGTAAAGTGAAAAAATTTGATTTCTTTCTTTAACAAATATAGAGAAGAAGGATTTGCAATTGCTATGATTTCTACCAAGGAAATTGTACTTGAAATGAATGTCGAACCCGAATTTCGCAAGAAAGGTGTGATATATAGGACGTAACAATTTGATGTGCAATGTTGATAATGAAATCTCAAAAGCTTTCGAAGAGTCCTTTAGAGTTTATTACCTTTATACATAATAGACAAGGCTATTTTTTCATTTCAAAATAGATTGGAACAATTCGAAGCATATGAATTTTTTTTTTCTTTTTAGTAGTAAAAACTAAGATAGCTAGATATTGGAAATTCGATATTAATAGTTTAGATTTATTTTTTGAATTAAAAATATAAAGAAAAATAGTACAATTATAAGATAACAGTTTAATTGATACACCTAATCAAATAAAAATATTTAATTCTTTTCCAAATGCCTAAATTGCTTATGAATAATGTTAATAACTCATGTTATCGTTGCTGCAGGGGAAAGAAGTTTTTATAATTAAAATTGATAAAATCTTACCTAAGAACAATAATGTCACAAGAAAGGTTAAATAGATTAGTTATATTGTCAACTGAGAAATTAGGAGTTATTCTTGGTAAAAAGATTATTTATAACTTTGTATCTAAGAAAAAAAAAAAAGATTTCAAATAAATAATATAATAGTTAAAAAATTAAGGCCCCTCATAAAGTTTGGCTTCAGGCCACACAATTGGTCGGGCCGCCCTACCTCCCACTAGCATAAGTTATTGGCATAAGAGAAGAAATTATCTACTATTTCATAAATCTCAATCCAATTCATTTGACCTTTAAGGAAGTTGGTTTATCGATTAATTAATTATAACTCTATTTAATTATTCACGTGTTATGTTAAGTTTTTAATGTTATTCTATATTCGAGGACAATATAACTCTAATTAAATTTAAATATTTCCTACATAAAAGGATAACAAATATACAATTTAATTAATTAAATATATTTAGTCATATATCACAAAGACCAAAAGAATTTACTATTATTATAGCACAAATGGGTAGTTTGTGGCTTTACAAATTTATTTTTAGTTTTATAATCCTATTTTTTTTTTTACTCATGTGAGATTTACTTTTCACGTAAGAGATATATTTTTTACAATCTATTTTTTTTTTAAATTTAAAATTATGAAGGAGCATGACATATAAATAACACTAATAATTGATGCACCAAAAGTGCTATTATACAAAAGAAAAATAATGAAAAGATCCTTATATACAATCCTTTGGTTTTCCGTACTCAATAATCCGGATTCGGGCCGGGTAGAAAATCCCCTTTCTATTTCAAGCGCTCAGCAATTATACCAAGCACCAAAACCCTCACTTTCCCCTTTTGATTCGTTTACGTTTGTGTTGTGTGCCCTAGAAAAAACCATGGCAGACGTTCATATGAGAGACGAGAAGATGAGATACGAGGATGAGAAGCGTGGGGAGTTTGAGATGATCCGAAAGAAGTTGGAGGAATGGAACTTTTCGCCTTATTACTTTCAAATTTTCAACAAGGAGGAATCTCCCAATTGGCGCCACCCTATGTTCATCGATAGCATCGCTAACGGAATGCTAGCCTTTTTCTATGAAAGATGCAACTATTACCAAAGTTTTTTTCATTATCTCTGTTTCTAATGGAATAATATAGGGTTTTGTTGTGCTTATGTCAATTTTTGTCAATTTTTTTATTTTATTTAGGCAGGTTCTGCTAATATAATAAACAGTTTTTGCTTAATTAAGCCCCCAAATTAGCTGCAGTGAATCTGCCAGTTTTGTATTGCCCTCTTGCTTTGACTCGCAAGCAATTAATCATTAGCATAGTGATATATTAAATTGCTAAGAAAAACCTTTATCTATGAATATAAATATTAAATAGTTTAGTATAAAGAAACTAGTGACTAATAGCACCCAGGACTTTTGGTTCTGGTGGTAAGAGCACATCAGGTGATGTGCAGCAGGTTAGGCGCACGTCAAGGTTGCGAACCCTACTGGTATATAAGTGTAGAAGGGAGAGGGGCATACCCGTTATTCATTGAGTTTTGAACCGTGCGCCACTGGCTCTCGGGAATATCTTGGTTATCAAGAAAAGGAAAAAGAACTAGTCACTATTGTTGATGTATGAACTTATAACAACATCTTTGCATTTGAATCAGTTTTTCAAAATGGTTTTTGAACTTGATTGACATCCACAATGGTATTCTTCTTCTCTGAATGTTCTTCTCTGGTTTTCAATATGCAGCTTCAAGTTCTCACTTGAGCCAATGATAGTTGGTGAGGTGAATCTTTGCACCTACTCCGAGTTGCAAAACATCACTGATTTCAAGCCTGAGAGCTTGATTCAGAAGACTCTTTCGGGAAGATTGTTTCGTGGCACCATTGGCGAAGGATCTGAAAAGCGACCGGCGATTGTAAAGACATGGGATTTTTTCCTTCCTTTGGGAGACGAGCATACTCAACGTCTGCATAAATTTTGTGTATGTTTGCAAGATTGATCTGAATTTGATTTCTTGTCTATTATCTTGGGTTAAATGATGTCTAGGGTTCTTTTGTTGGACGAGATCGAGTTATTCACAGATGAAAGAGCAAATACGCATCCAAATTTGTTGAAGTTGTATAGGTACTGTTATGAGACGAGGCTTGCAGCTGTCTATGATGAAAAATTCACCAGACTCTTGTCTGATGTGCTTTTGGCTGGTATTTATTACCTCGACTATTATGTTGAAAGACTGTTCAGTGCGTGTTTTGTGTGGTTTTAGCACATCCTTTATGTTTTTATTTTCTAGTTCGCAGATGACTTTGAGTGGGATGACCGGATAAAAGTGGCAACTCAACTTGCAGATCTCTTGGCATGGTTGCATGAAAAGAGGGTTGCAGTTGGCAGTGTTATTGCTTCATGCGTTATGATAGATGAGGTTGAGTCCTTGGTCGTCTTCTCGACTTTTTCTTAGATACCTGAAGATGTTAACGCGTCATTACCTTACTGGCTTGCTGGAACCGGGAAATTGTTTTGGCTTGCAGGAAGTAAATATAAAAGTATTTGACTTTGGTCACGTTTCAAATCATGTGAGCGAAGATTGTAAAATTCCTGTTAAAGCTCGTGTTGGCAGGGAAGCTCCAGAGGTTGTAGCAGGCATGTTTTCTCAGACCTCATCATCTATGATGTTTTCATGCTATAGATTAAGGATTTTCTTGTAGTTGTCCATGTTTTGCATGATGCAATGCTTTTTATTTGAGGTCGGTTTCATCAATTAAATCCTGCTACTTTTTTCTTTTTTCTTTGCATTTTTCCTTGTTCTGTTGGGCTTAAACGGCCTAATGACACTCTTAACATGGTGTGATATTGTCCGCTTTGGGCCAAGCCTGCACGGTTTTTCCCAAAAGGTCTCACACCATTAAGAGATCCCTACACCTTATATGTAGACTCCCAATCTTTTCAGCTACCAATGTGGGACTTTGTTCGCACACCCAACACTATTCTCCTTAGTACCCAAGTAACAAGCAAATTAGGTTTAGTTGTTGGACAAGACAATCTCTAACTGGAAATGTGTTAGAGCCTATGGTTAGTTATGAAACTTCAATAGAAATGGTATGTTCCATGCACCGCAGTGTAAAAGATATTTACGCAATCAGATCACTTATAAGGTACTTACAGGAAAATCTTTTGATAAGCACTAACTAGCAATCTGGTAAAAATGGTAATTAACCTGCTATCACAGGTTGAAATTTACTGACCGTGTAAAAAAATCCTCCACGCTGTCAGTGTATATAACTTAAATTCTTTCGTAGAGTACAATGACTCGATCTCCACGCTGTCAGTGTATATAACTTAAATTCTTTCGTAGAGTACAATGACTCGATCTTCTGTAAGCTACTAGTAGATTCTATCATCTTTTCCACATTGTATGCACCATCAAGTTATACCAGAATTCTGAATTAAAATAAACTTCTGTTTTTGAACATGTATTGATGATGCCTTTCCTTTGAAACAACTGTGATTCCTCTCCTTCCAAATAGCCGTAAAACACATGCTAGTATGGTCCTCTAGGTTTCCTTCAACTCTTAGTTCCCTTTACAGCACATCCAGCTACTTAGTATTCCCTCCGGTCCAAAATAAGTGATTTTTTGGATGTTTTCACACAGATTAAGAAATTCACCTTTTAGCATTAATTAGCAATAGAATTGACCATATTAACCTTTACTATCTCACATAAACACTCCTAACACATATTCCAACACTATTTACTCCAAGGACAATGTAGGAAAAAAATAATTAATTCATTCTTGAAATCTGAAAAAATCACTTATTTTGGACCACAAGAAAAAGGCCAAAAAATCACTTATTTTGGACCGGAGGGAGTAGCTCTTTTGTGGTTGCTGACGTCACCCACTTTTATCCCAAAAATGTGCGGGAAAAGATTCCAAACAAGCTGATATTGTCTGTAGTTTGTTATCTAGGTATCCTATACTGAAGAGTCTTGTGATGCCTTGTTTTTCTATACATTGTTCATTAGTGTGCATTAACCAGAGGCGGCGCCAGGATTTAAACTTTATGAGGTTTGGATTTTAGAACGACGACTTTAAGTACTAATATCTAGGTTTTTAATTTGATATTTGTACATATTTAATGATTTTTTTTAACACAAATACATTTTTTGAGCAAAAGCTATTGGGTTCGGGCGAACCAATACTCGGGCTTTTAGCTCCGCCCCTGGCATTAACTCCTCACCTCGGCAGCTGACTCTGCCATGACCCTCATATTTTTTTATGTTTTTTGCTGAAACAGAAAAAAAGCTAGTGAAAAGAAGTCTGAATTAGGAATTATGACTCTTAGCTTTCCCCCGTGGAGAATTTTCATCATATTTGATGTTTCTATTATGTGCATAATTTACATAATTTATTTGCTTTTCATTACTAAGTGCACTTCCGTTCTTATATTTTCTGGATCGATACAGGTGAGCGGACGATGAAATCTGATGTTTATATATTTGGTCTTCTACTTCTGGAGCTAATAAGCAAAAAGAAATTTAATTTTCGCGAGAATCCTGTGATTGTGGAAAATTCAGTTGTAAAGGAGGCTACACTTAGTGAAAAATATTTGGTTCATGAATGCTTCAAAGAAGTTGATCATCCAACTGCACTTGATATCACACATCTGGTATTCCTCTGCATGAATCTGGAACCAGAAGAAAGACCAACGATGAAGGATGTTTTAGATGCTTTGAGAGCACTGAGTACGGGAGTGAGGGGAGAGAAACGAAAAAGAGATGAAAACGAGGCAGAATAGAATAAGCTATCCTCTTGGATTAGCTGCTTTTCCTTTTTGTATGAACTGAATTTCGTAAGGTAGTAGCTATAGACTCGATTACTAATTAGAAAGGCTCGTTGGAATCGAACCGCTACGGGATTAACATTTACTCAACGTGTGTTGCAGCTTCTTTGTAGAAAAGGAAAGTATTGTGTTGGAGCTTTGTAGAGGAAGAATGTATTTGACTGAATACCTTATGAATTGCTGATATTCCAATCCTTTAAGCAAACTATTGTAGACATGTAATATTTATCTCTCTTTTTTTCTTTCTTTTTTGTGGCTGCTTATTCTCTTTCGAGCTATCTGATGTGCAAAGTCTCCTAACTGACATTATTATTGTTATTACTAATGACAGTAATAATGTGCAAAGTCTGATATATATGGAATAAACCAAAAACGATATCAATTTCTTAAATACTTTTCAAAAGATGCTCCGTCATGTATTTTTCTACTCCCTCCGTTCCAATTTATGTGAACCTGTTTGACTGGGCACGGTGTTTAAGAAAAAAATGAAGACTTTTGGAATTTGTGGTCCTAAACAAGTCAAAAAGGGGCTCAGAGTATTTGTGTGGTTATAAAAGCTTCTCAACAAGGGTAAAGTTGTAAGTTTAAGCTGAATTGTTACCAAATTTAGAAAGTGGTCATTTTTTTTGCAACGGACCAAAAAGGAAATAGGTTCACATAAACTGGAACGGAGGAAGTAACTAATTAAAAGTTACGATGAAGCGATAAATACTCCTTATTTCGAATCTCAATATGAATGCCAAAAAGAGGATGAAAAAAAAAAAGGACAGTAGTCAAAGGTTGCAAGCCCCTTAGAATACTTTTCAAACCTTTACTTTGAGGATTTTTAAAGTTGTCCATTGCAACTTCTCTATTCTCCAGATATCATCAAGCTTCATCATTTTAGAATTTTGAATGTTTTCTTTTAATTTTATTTTACAACTCAAATATATTAGTTAATACTAATATTGTAGTAATATTTATGTAATAACAACCATAACAAACTCACTGTGATTCTACAAGTGGGGTTTGGGAAGGAAGGTGCGTATGCAACCTTACCATTACCTTGTGAGATGAAAAACATGAGCCGACGGTTGTTCACATAAATTCTCAGAACAGCAGGGGAAGTCTTTGTAATTAGGGTAAACTTCAGGGGAGATATTTGTAATATATTAATAACCAAAATTAAATGCACTCTGCCTATGCCAGAGTTAGTTGGAAACATTGGAAAAACCAATGCAAAATGCTAATAATTCACACAGTCATGAGTTGTTACATTTGCAGCTCACCCAATTCCCAAAATCATAAAATTCCATTTTTTTTTGACCTACTAAATCAAGCTTCTTGTTTACCATAGAATTCAATTTTCTCAAATTACAATGGGCAATGCTTCTTCCATGCTAACTCAATATGACATTGAACAAGTTCAAGAACACTGCAATCACACATGTAATTACCACAATTGTACAATATTTTTATATGTTTTTTTAATTAGTGTTTGAGGCAACTTGTTCCCACCTGGACTATTTCATCAATATTTGTTACCTCCCATCCAGTAACAAGTAACCTACTGCTCACCTCTTGCTCGTAAAAGGTTTAGGCAGACGAGAAGAAATTAGCTAGTGTTTTTAGTCTTTGCTAGGGTTTGAATATTTTTACGCACTTTATTGACGGTTAGGCCACACTGTGGGTGCAATATTGTTATCTGAATTTATATATTCAACAACAACAATAATGTACCCCCTATAATTCCATAAATAGGGTTTGGGAGGATAGTGTCTACGCAGCCTTACTACAGAGATGCTGTTTTCAATAGACCCTCGACTTCGAATTTATTTATTGATTTTTGTGTTAATTTTTTTAGGTAATTGTCACTAAAGTTGTGGTTTTTTTCTTTTTTTTTTGAATTTTTTTTCTTGGTGGATTTTGTGGTTTAGTTTCACAGCAGGAGATACTTTCATTGTACCAGAGGTTTTGTCAAGTGGATCGAAAAGGGTGTGGATTTATCTCTGGAGAAGAGTTTCTTTCAGTGCCCGAATTTGCTGTCAATCCTCTATCTCAGGTTTCATCGTCGTTTATGAGCTAAATCATGATAAAAACATTTGTTTTTGTACAGTAAGTTTAAGTTATACACGCTAACCATTAATTTTTTTTTATGCAATTAGTGCAATTTAATTTGTTATAGCAAGTTCTTACTCTATTTTTCAGGTCAACGTATCAGGCTTGATATAGAGAGTTATCTGTTGTTGTAGGTCAAATTAACCCGATAGTGTTAAATAAGTGCACAGAACAAAAATCCTCATAGTTATGCAACCCCATATCCAGTTTTCCTATATGATTATGCAAATCTTGCTTTCTATATTTTATTTACATAGTTTTTAGAAATAGTAAAGGGGAGCCTTAGTGTAACTGGTAGAGTTGCTGTCATGTGACCAGGAGGCCACGGGTTCGACCCGTGGAAACAGCCTCTTGTAGAAATGCAGGGAAAGACAACATACAATAGACCCTTGTGGTCTGGCCCTTCCCCGGATCCCACGCATGGCGGGAGCTTAGTGCACCGGGCTGCCCTTTAGTTTTTAGAAATAGTGAATGCGAAAGCAACCATAATGCAGCAAAGATGGTAGACTAGTTCATATGCTTGGCCTTTGAAATCTTTGATCCATCAATGACAAAATGTGGGAATAGTTTATATGGTGTTATGAAATTAGAGATGCAGGGCGGGGGAGAAAGACAAAATAATTCTGCCTCAGTAGTTTATGTGTGTTCTCACCCTTTTTGAGCCGAGGGGCTATTGGAAATAGCGTCTCTACCTTCACTAGGTAGAGGTAAGGTCTGTTTACACGCTACCCTCCCCATGCCCCACCTGTTGAGAATATATTGGGTCTGTTGTTGTTGTGGTGCGGTCACTTGGGAAATCCCCCAAGAACGACTGCCACGAAATTCTTGTGAGAGCTGGAGAAATGTCTAACGACATAGGCTCGACACTGAAGAAGTAGAGGTATAGTGGGAAGAGAGAAGGTTTTGAAATGGGAAATGTAAGTGAGATACAAAGAAGGTAAATTGATCCATCAACAAAGAGGTTACACTAGATTATCTTTATTAGTATTACATTATTTCTTTGATTTTTTTTGGTTAATGGTCAGCATTGACAAATCACAAACACATTTGGCGAATTTCGCCATCATAAAACTTTGTTCCAATGTGATCCAGAGGCTATTTAGGATGATCGATGGGTTAAATTTCAAAGAATTTGTGGCATTCTTATCAGGATTTAGTGTTCATGCTAGCTTGCAGCAAAAGGTTGAATGTAAGGGCAATTTTTCATATTCGATCTCCTTTTTCGTTCAACTTTACTCTCTTCTGTTTAAGTATTTCTTATCTGTCTGTCGTTCCTTCTTATTTTCCAGTTATCTTTAGGGTTTATGACTCCGATGGGAATGGAAAGGTGACATTCGACGATATGCTGGAGATCTTGCAGGATTTGACTGGACAGTTTATGTCTGATGTTCAACGAAAGGTAGTGTTTGCGTTGTATGCCTCCAATTTTCTTCTTCTTAACCTTTTTCCCTTAAATTTCCCATTTTGATGCCTAAACGAGGATTAGAAAGTGACCAGGAAGTAAGTGAAGTTTCTTAGCGTCTTACTTCTAATTGCTGTGAATGGGAAAATATACTACTAAGAATATTGAACTCAAGTCGTCAATCTTCCGATTGTGCTTTATTATCTCTTAATTAGTTGTAAACTTCTGGTGTAGGATAGGCTTTCAACTAGCTTATAGTTTGCACTTTAGTGAAATGCAGACCAGCAGAATTTGATACTGGCAGAAATGTTAGAAACCGATATGGAGTTCTTGTTTTTTTAAGGTCAATGACCAAAATTGGAACTGGAAGACTCTTCTATGTACGGTAACCAGTCCATCGTGAGTGTGACAGATACCTTTTTGTTAGTTTCGGAGCTGTTTGTTTGGGTGGGGCGTACCTGTGTTGGTCGGAGGTACAACCCAATGGATTAGTCGAGGTGCGCTTTCCTAATGGAAACATAGTAAATATTTCGCAAGAAAAACTCAATCTTGAAAAGAAGTTGAGGAAAAAGCTCAAATATAGCCAATAGAGTAGTGTAGTTTTCGACATGTTATGAGTGTTGAGAAAAGAATTAAGTGCAGTTCTCCATTTTATGAGTTGCTTTAGGTATACATAAGTACCAATCCAAGCAGACCTAGGCCGTGAACAGCCAACCATCGTACTGTAAAAATTGGATAGGTTCGATCTATAGTCATTAGGGCCTCCTAAAACGATCTACTGAAAAAACCACCTTGTATAAAGTTACCTGAAAAAGAAATGTGACCTTTGTGTTTAACTCCATTTTTCTTTCCGTCTATGCAGCAAGTTTTGACGCGTGTTCTTGAGGAAGCAGGATACAGTAGGGATTCTTCACTAGTCCAATCTGACTTCCTAAAGGTAAATATTGGACATTCGACATTCAAACTATCTGTTTCTTTTTGTAAGTTTCTGGTGCATATTTGACAGATTTATTAACAATTCTCTAGACATGCCAATTGCTCTTTCCTCTTGTAAATATCTCTCCTTTCTGAGGATATAATATGAGATATGCGCTACTGCATTTGGATAAAAGGCTATGTTATGCGGCACCCGTGTCGGATCCTCCAAAAATACACTGGATTTGGAGGATCCGACATGTATCTATTGACATTTTCGGAGGGTTCGAGCAACATAGATAAAAAGTGCCATATGAATTTGGTAAAGGTCCAATGTTAGATCAAACAAAAGATTTAGACAAGCTTTGCGTTTACTGTTTTATCGTTATGGCTGGGAAGCTTGATATCAGAGGCGGAGCTACTGTGTCGGCTCCAGTTTATGCCGAACCACCCCGTAGGTTTAGTTCAAATCATGTATTTGTCTTAAAATTTTCATTAAATATATACAAATTATTAATATAGAACCCAATAACTTAAAAGGATTAGGACCCCGAACATATAAGCTTGAAATCTTGGCTCCGCCTTTACTTGATATAGTTTGACGATGGGAAAGTTACAAATAGCAGTGTACGATCTTTATTTTCTTGCTGCCAGGCTGTGTAGACCCTTGTATTCATTTTCTTCTTTCCATGTTGAAGCTAATAATTCGAAAGCAGGACCAGAGCAGCCCTGGAGCGACATAGCTACAAGGGGTGTCAATTGACATTGTTTAGATAGTTAAGCATTATCTTATTATATGTACATTGTT